TGGGGGGGGGCAGTAACCCCCCCCCCCCCCCAATACAATTTAAACATGGGTTATTTTTAATTTGATACCAGTGATTTACAAGTATTGCTAAAATGGCAGTATTTTTCCATGAGCTCCCGGGGGCTCTACCCCCTGGAACCCACCAAGGGCCCTAAGGCGGGCCCTGTTTGCTCATCTGGCCGTAATTAAATGCCTAAAGTCCTTGAGCTTTCGGGGGCTCTGCCCTTTGGACCCAACCAAGGGGCCTAAGGCGGGTCCCTAGATGCGTAATTTGGTGCCTAAAAGCCCTTCCGTTATGTATTTCTTATGTATTTCTTTGTCTTTCTTTCTCCATATCCTCTGCACTCCCCTTATGTATTTTTTTGTTTTCCCTTTTCTATTACCTTCTCTTCCCTGGGTAAACGTGCTTGCACATGAACTATACATGTATATGGCTAAACAGTTTTGTAAAAAAAAATATGCGCGAACGGTCAAGGAGTAAGAAGAAGGCAAAAAGAGAACAAAGACGGCATCCATGGAAGCCATGTGAGAGTGTCCACTTTTTTCGCTTTTACTTTCACCCTTGCATTCTTTCCTGAATCAGAGTTTTCTCACACCTTGTAGACTCGTGCAGGTTATGATCTTGTGTGTGTGTGTGTGTGCGTGTGTGTGTGTGTGTGTGTGCGTGTGTTTGTGTGTGTTCGTGTAACGAAATAACGTATACAATAGCTTGGCAATTCTCATGGTTATGAGATACAATGTGAAAGGAATTGAGAGAATAATGGTCGCGTAGCTTAAATCAAAGTTCCCCATTGCAGTCCTCTCTTTTTGGATATTTTTGCATTTTGTTTTTGTAAGAGGTGTAGCGCCAGAAGAAAGAAGAGGAAGAAGAAAAGAAACGGGTGAAGAAGGAGATCGGGGGGGGGGGGGGGCGAAAGGGCCTTGCCTCCCAGGCTGTTGCACCCCCCCCCCTCTAATAAAAAAAAAGAGAAAAGGAAGGAAAGGGAAAGGGTAAGAGGAGATAAAGGGAAGGAAAAAGAAGAAAAGAAAAGAAAGGGGATATCATTTGCAATTTTCCCCGGTGGATCGAGGAGGGGCAAAAGGCCCTTACCTCCCCCGCCCCCGCTATAACAAAGAGAGAAAGAAGAAAAAGGGAAAGAGGAGAGCTAAAAGGGAACAAAAAAGAGGAAGAAGAAAAGAAAAGGGTGAAAAGAACGTGAGATCAGTTCCGGTTAATCCCGCCAACAACGTGTGGATCGGGGTGGGGACCGAAAGGCCCTTGCCCCCCACCCCCCTCGGCAAACCTTAAGGAGGAGAGAAAGGGAAAGAATAAAAAAGAGAAAGAAGAAAAGGGGGCACTGGCGTACTGATAGGGGGGGGGGGGCTTGGGGCAATTCAAATTCAAACTGGTTAATTTCTAATTCCATAACGGTGGCTTACAAATAATGCTGAATTCTTTCCGAGATTTTTCCTCAGTTTTTAGTAAATTATACTTTTGTATGCGTTTGTTGGAAAATGACAAGTTCCTAAATTTACAGCCAGGCAAGAAATATGATTCTTGAGAAAAGTTAGGGCCCGGGGATCGGCTGGAATCGCAAGCCTCGAGCTCCCCCCCCCCCCTCCCCTCCACTTTTTTTTGAAAAGGTATAGTAAAGAGAAATAGAAATAAAGAGAGAAAGAATAGTTAACTAGCTGCTCATCTGACCGAAATTAAACGCCTAAAAACCCCTGAGCTTCCGGGGTTCCGTCCCTTGCACCCCGCCTAGGGCCATAGACTCCCCTGGATGCTAATCTGACAGAAATGTAATGCCTAAAACCCCTGTTTTCTGGGGGCTTCGCCCGCTGGACCTCACGCCAATTAGTGTCCTGCCAGTGTCACAAATAAGGTATAAAAATATGTTCATCTGACCGTAATCAAATGCCTAAAACCCCTGAGCTTCTCGGGTCGGACAAGGTATCAAAATTTGTTTATCTGACCGCAGGCGCGTAGCCAGGGGGGGGGGGGGGGGTAGAAAAAAATAGAGAGGAGAGGAAAGGAAGAGGACGTAGGGAGAAAAAGTAGCAGACAGAAAACATCTTTGAAATTCAGACAAGAATTAAGAGTATAGAGAACGGTACAACGATTCGTCTTCTATCTCTAATAATTTAATGAATCGTCAAAGCGTCCGCGCTTCGCGGAGGGGGGGGGGGACTGAATTAAGACAAGGATTAAGAGTATAGAGAACGGTACAACGAATCGTCTTCTATCTTTAATAATTTAATGAAACGTCAAAGCTTCCGCGCTTCGCGGATGGGGGGTTGAATTAAGACAAGGATTAAGAGTCGAGAACGATTCAACGAATCGCTTTCTTTCTCCAATGATTTAATGAAACGTAAAAGCTTCCGCGCTTCGCGCGAGACGGGGGGGGGGGGGGGAAGGGGGGCTGAATTAAGACAAGGATTAAGAGTCGAGAACGGTACAACGAATCGTTTTCTTTCGTCAATGATTTAATGAAACGTAAAAGTTTCCGCCCTTCACGCGGGAGGGGAAAATTGCATTCAAACGAGGATAATTTTCGAGAACGCTATAACGAATCGTCTTCTTTCAATAATAGTTTAATGAAACGTCAAAGCTTCCGCGCTGCGCGGAGGGGGGGGGGGGTGTGAATTAAGAGAAGGATTAAGAGTCGAGAACGGTACAACGACTTGTCTTCTTTCTCTAATACTTTAATGAAACGTCATATATAGCTTCCGCGCTTTGCAGAGGAGGGAGGGGGGAAACTCACCCCTCCCTACATCCCCCTGCATTACGTCACTGCTGGTCACCATTACGTACCAATATTTGGCTCGCATAATTTCAAATTTGGGCCCCCCCCCCCTAAGAAATCCTGGATCCGCGCCTGCCTTTGACCCCACCAAGGGCCCTAAGGCGACCCCCTTGCTGCCATTCTGACCGTAATTTAATGCCTAAAACCCCTGGGCTTCTATAGGGGCTTTGCCATTGGACCCCACGCCTATTTACGCTCCACTCGCTTAGCTCGCTACGCTCTGCCTGATCGTAACTACTTACCCCCCCCCCCCCCCAACTTTGAAAAGTGTTCCGCGGGGTCTGCATGAAACATGTAAGATTGATGGTGATGCGGATTTTTTTTTCTGCACCTCCCTCAACGCCTTCGCTCATTACGCCGCTGACCATTATACCAACGGAATACATATTTTCCCTCACATTTCGTCCCCCGGTCATGAAAAGATCGAAATCACTGCCCTTGGTATTTACCCCCTTATTGAATGTCCATTACCTTTTTAGTTTGAGCAGGTGCCCTACGTGTCTTTTCCCTCGTCCCAGTTACCCCTATTCCCTGGTAAAAAAAAATAAATGACCATTTAAAATAATAATTATGTATATTGATGTTTATGGGGAGGCACAGGCGTTCGCGGTAGGGTGCAAAAAGACTTTCGTTAAATCAATCAACACTGCAAATTTGTTTTGTAACGACTTTAAACAACATTGGGTGGTTCATTCCTTACACAAATTTGCAGTGTAAAGTTGTGATTTTTTTTTTACACAACTTAACACAACCCCCGTGTAAGGAGCGAACCACCTAATCCTGTGTACAGTCGTTACACAACGTTGACACAACGAATTTGCAGTGAAGGGTAAATTCAATACGCTATCAGGGGCGGATCTAGCTTTTTGCTAAGGGGGGGTTTGACCAAAATAATGACGATGCAGAGCATCGTCCACGAGCCGCGTAGCGGCGAGCCGATTTTTTTTTGGGTGTTTATTTGAACCCCGTAAGTGATGTTTTCCTGGCATCTATTAACACAATGGAGACCATAAAAAGCAGTGCATGATAACGTCTTTTTTAATCAAGTAACAGCTTAATACACAGTTATATCCAGCCTTTTTATCATGTGTTTGGTTAAGTTACCAGATGAGTTGAATATCTTCTCACAATATTTGCACTTGAAAGGGTTTCTCTCCAGCGTGCGTTCTTTTTTTTCTTTTTTTTTTTTCTTTTTTTTTTGGGCCGCCCAAGGGGGGGGGGGTTTGAACCCCCTAAACCCCCCCCCCCCCCCCGTAGATCCGCGCCTGGCTATTGTATATTCCCAAATAAATCACTTTCAAATACGCAACAAGTAAATAACAGTATGTTCGAACATTTCAATGCCATGGCATGGGTGATGGATAAGGTCTTTGAATTCACCGTAGGTTGTTTTTGCGGTCGTGTTTTACCAATATTTGAACAATCGCCAACTCGATGTTTGTATCCATCCCATCCCCCACCCCAGTCTCCTATAATTATCTCAATATTTGTTTATTGTCAAAGCATGAAATATTCTAAACTCTTGTAACACGATCGATCGAGTCTAGTGTGCAATTGTCTCTTCAGCCACTCATTATTATTTTTATTTTTTTTAACATATAGGCAGTGATCCCGGTTAGTTAAAATTGACTTTTTCTGCGTTGCAGCTCCATACATCACGTCACGTTACGTCAGAGTAGGCCTATAGCTACACATTATGTAATTAGAGACGATGCGTTAATTGTCAAATAACCTACTACACCTACCGTTGCATGGGTACTAATGAGTAGTCATAGGCAGCGATTGCCACCCATTTCATTGTCATTCATGCTCACTGCTATTTACTATGAGAGAGAGAGAGAGAGAGAGAGTGTGAGAGAGAGAGAGAGAGAGGGGGAGAGGGGAGGGAGATAGAGTGAGAGAGAGAGAGAGAGGGGGGGGGTGGTGATCGAAGATGAGTATAGGGTGACTATAACGAGTCTTCCCAATTTCCCTTAAAAAATCAATGGCCGTGGTCTTTGTCGTCCATATCGGTCATCGATCCACATACATGTACATGCCTCGTATGCTGACAATTAAACAACACCGTTTGGGACATCTAAACACCGAAGACAAGCTTTTCGTCCTGCACTCATCAGATTAAGCTACATGCATTTACAGAAGAAACCGGAAATCAGACATGATGATAAGAAACTAAAGGAAAAAATAATTTTCTTTAATTTGTGGTACCTTCATCTACAGAGATGGAGTGGAAAGTGACTTCGCGGACATTATATTGGCTGAGTTCGATGGCTGTTTTAGTTGTTATTGTCTCCACGTATGTATTTATGGATCTGGCTACCAAGCATCGTATGTATGTAAAGGTCGGACATAAACCATTTTATCTTGAACAATGTCTTCCGAATTTGAGTTGTGCCTCTGGACAGACCTTTACAAAAAGAGATGAACTCAGAAATATCTCTTCATCAAACGGACCTGGTGACGCCGAAGTGGATTTTGAGCTTTCATCTCTCACAGAGGACGGCCGGGCTCATGACACTTTCGATATAGGTGAGAGATTATTACCAACTGTTGACGATGGAAATGCTGCAGAGGAAGTCGATACTGTTTCGGCTTTAGATATGAAAAATGGTTTCTCAGAAGATGTGAGGTCATTAGATCAAAACATCGGCTACGGATACGACCCTCAAGTCTACGTTGATCTTTACAAGAATATGACGATCAATGATGTCTCTAAGAAGACAACCGATTCCCCTCCAGTCATCATCATCATGGCCCAATGGCGGTTCGGATCCAGCGTCTTTGGGGAGCTTTTCAATCAGAATTCTGATCTGTTTTACTTATTTGAGCCATTGTATACAACTACTAAATTAAGAAAACAGAAAGGTATTGGATTGTTTACGCCCGAGAGTCAGCAAATGTCCAGGAATATCTTGCGTAAATTATCAAGGTGCCAGTTTGATCCTGATTTTGTTAAAATATTAGATGGCTGGAACGGGAAAACCAAGAACAAAGCATTATGCAAGGCATCGGGGAAGTGTAGGATAATATCACCGAGCTGGATGAGTGGTTTGTGCCGGAAGTATAAAGGCCGAGTTGCTTCGAAGCTGATCCGAGTTGATCTAGAACTTCTAAGACCACTGGTGGTGGACGATAATATCAATCTGAAGATCATCCATTTAGTTCGTGACCCTAGGGGCTCTGCATTGTCCAGGATCAAATACAAGCTCAGTTTATCGGGGAAAATATCTCCGATAGTTCGTTCTCAATTCCCTAAACATGGACGATTGAAGCCTTTCAACCTTTTCAGCGTTACTCCAGAAACCGGACAGACTGTTCGAGGAATGTGCAAGTGGATCAGAAAGAACGCAGTTGTTTCGCCTGATCTTCTACCCACTTGGTTGCAAAGTCGTTACTACCTCGTCAGGTATGAAGACTTTGCAGACACTCCCCTGAAGGTCACCCAAGACCTCTACAGGTTCGTCGGAATTCCTTTTAAAAAGGAGGTTCAGGATTGGGTGATAAAGAATACACGTGAGACAGTCAGAAAAAATGATTTGTTTTCAACTCACAGGAATTCCCAAGTCGCAGCTACACATTGGATCAAAGATCTTACTGAAATGGAAGTCGGGCAGATTGAGGAGGAATGCAAGGATGTTTTAGAACTAATGGGTTACGAACCATATAGCCAACTGATTCACCAGGAAAAATCAACGAGATAATTATTGAACTGATCTAGGTCATTGTATTGACAAACCATTACTGTATCAATCATAACTTCTTCTACGCGGCTTCCATTCTCTCCTCTGTTTCTAGCACACACTCTCTCTCTCTCTCTCTCTCCCACCCCTCTAGCTCTCTCTATATATTTTATTTCTCTCTCTTTGTCTCTTCTATTCTCTCTCTTTCTTTCTTTCTTTCTCAATCTCCCCCTTCTCTCCTATTATATCCGTCACTCTCTATTTGTTTCTATTGTAACGATTTGAAATAGGTTGCCCTGTTTACAAACCGATCAGCACATGATCCGAATAAAACCCATGAATATTAAAGTATAATCTATATTTTGTTATATCCTGCATCAAAAATGTATTGGCTTTTAATTGGTTGACAGCTCATCACATGACCAGAAATATTTCAACTATTTTTAGAAAGTACTATATGAGAGTACTATTTGGGAGTTGACATTTTTTATAAAATTATTAAAATTTAAAGAATAAAAAATCTTATTTTAATAATTTGTAATTCTTCTGTTTTTAAACATTATTTTTTCATTCAGGATATAAAACAAATATACCATGCCTTCTTTTCGAGGTACTGGTTAAAACTATGGGCCTCGGTGACTCCAAAAGTACCATTTGCTTTGGGGCTGCGCCCCTCAGCAAATAGTACTATTGGAGTCACCTCTTGCGCATAGTTTTAACCAGAACCTCTCAAGACAGTGTATATTTGTATACTATTGTAAATCTTAACGTATTTTCTGTCAAATTGAAGTAAATTTCCAATGTATCACTGTATTTTACTGATCTTTTTAATCTGTTAAACTCACGCAATAATTCACTTGTACTATCTATTGCAACTATTTTAATAGCCGGTCTGGTTACAAACAAACACGACCCGTTAAAATCAATAAATATCGGAGAGGAAATATTACTGCATGTACATATTTATATATATCTTTATATTCTATATTTTTACTATGGATTTGAACAAATTTTAAATTTATATCACGTAATGTTTGACTTTAAATTGTAAAAGGGCACACGATTCAGCCTTTGGGCTGCGAGATGATTTTCAATAAAACAAACCATTTATACAAATAATAGGTTATCTTATATTTTTCATTAGGCGTATTCCTATCAATTTTTCAGTTGTCATTAATAATTCATGACGCTCACTATATAGAAAAAGCTGTTGTGTAAAGACAGGCGCGGCATTTATAGAGCGTTATTGACTGTGATGTTTCATGAACAAATTTCGATTTTGCAGCTCATACATTGTGATTGCACACTTTCTATTATCTGTGCATTCTTTGTGGTTTCATTGTTGTGTGTATTTCATGTTATAAATCTTTGATGTGGTCTTCTTGTATCCTCTACACTCCTGTAGTGAAATTTGAATACAAAATTTCTTTTTTATCAAAGGAAAGTATCACTTCCCTAGTCATGAAGGATAAATCAATATGATCTATTTACTGTCTTTGAGTTCTTCATCGATATAGAGTTTCTTCAACATAATATTTCGTTTCGTTGATGATCTGCCATAGACGAAAGACTTAGTGCATAGCTGATTGTCAACGAAACGGAGTCAAGTCTTTTGTCAATTCTGCTTGTTGGTACGGCAGCAGCCAGTGAAAACAATTTCGTTTATTAAAGTTAAGGAAATGCAAGCCTTACTTTTAACAAACAGAACTTTGTTATTCCTTGCCTATTTTTCCTTATTTAGGAGTTATGAAAGGGCAAAAACTGAACTTTCTAGAAATATGATTTCTTTTTGAAATTCAGATACCGTCCGCCAAATGAATATTTGGTTCCCTCTCTTCAAATCAATTTTGATCCCTCATGCGTAACATATGCATCATATGAGTTGCATAAAATGAAAGAGGAGGATCTAATGTTTACAAATATGTGTCATTTATTAATTATAATTGTAATTAAGTTATGATAAAACATCGATAATTCTCGGTTTCGTTTTTTTTCTTGGACGCACTGTATAATCATGTAAGTCAGTAACAAGATCGAAGTTGGATCGAATCTAATGATTCGACCTAGTGTGATATATTTTATGCACGTGATGCAATACAAGTTGTTTTTATCTTTGGTTGACTTCAAGAAAACCAGCTTTATAAATTTCGCTGTAGCCAACATGAGTTCTTGGACCAGAACAGTTGATGAATCTCACCATTTTGTTCTGTATAATTTGCAACTTCTTTTGATCTGACTCGTTTCTGTTACTACTATACCATGCAGGGTTAGCATAGTCAAATAAACATTGAATAAGAGCAAAACAGAGTTTACGTCTTGCTTTTAAATCCATACAACTTTGATATCTGTACACAAATTTCAGACGAGAATTCGCTTTTTCACAACTGATTCTACTAAAGACGGAAATGAAATTGCGCTAGCCAACTCAATGCCTACATACTTCACGAATTCTTTACTCTTGGTTATTTGATTATTGCGTGTCACTTTGAATTCAAATGACTTTTTAGAACTACTTTCAGAACAAAACAAAAATGCATTCTGCTTTTGTCCCCAAGTGTAGAGAAATAAAGACGTATTTATAGCTGCCCTAAAATGCACTGTTAGGTGAAAATAAAAACAAAATCTATGCAAATTAACCCACTTTGTTGAAAATGTATGTGTTTATGCAAATTAAAGAACCTAAATATGATACATGAATGTTGTCGCAATTATTCTGAATGTAACATAGGACAAGAGTTATAATTATAATCAATTCTCTATAAAAACTCAGTTGAGCAGGAGTCCAACTGTTCCCTTTTCCAAGTTCATCCCTCCTCAGCCCTAGCAACAAAAAAATTATGTGTTTGGATGTTTATGGGGAGGCACGGGCGTAAGCGGTGGATGCAATAAGAAAATCGTTAAATTAAATCAAAGGTAAATTCAAAACGCTATTGTATATTCCCAAAAAAAATAACGTTCAAATACGCAACAAGTAATGTTCGAACACTTCAATGCCATAAGGGATGGATAAGGTCAATGAAGTTGACGTAGGTTAATTTTTCCAAAGTTTTTGCTGTCGTGTTTTACCAATATTTGGGCAATCACGTACAACTTGATGATGTTTGTATCCATCCAATCCCCATCCCCAGTTCTCCTATAATTTAAATATTGTGTATTGTCAACGCAGGACTGAAACTCTTGTAACACGCTCGCTATAGAGTCTAGTGTACAAGAATAGAGTCTCTTCAGCCGCTCATCATTATTTATTTTTTTATCCCGGTTAGTTAAATTAGACTTTTGCACCGTTGCAGCTCCACACACATCACGTTACGTCAGAGTAGGTCTACACGTTACGCGAATAGAGACAATGCGTTGCCAAATAACAAACTACACCGACTGTTTGATGAAAGTGAGTAAAGCGATTGCCGGGAGCGATTGCCACCCATTTTTATGGTAATATTCTATCTGAGAGAGAGTAAATAGAAGTGCGTGGTTCGATCATGCGTCTAGGCCGGGTGACTTAAGAGTCTTCCCTTAAACATCAAATAACAGCTAGTGCTTGCATGCCTTTGTGTCGTCCAGGGACATCGACCAACATTTACATATATATTTGTATACATGCTTTGTATGCTGACAGCTAACCAACACCATTTGTGACATCGAAACATCGAAAAGAAGCTTTTCGTCTTGCACTCATCAGATAATTTTAAACCACAAGAATGAACAGAAGAAACCGGAAATTAGACAGTATAATAAGAAACTAATAGAAAGAAAAACATTTCTTGCATGTTGTGGTACCAATCACATCTTCATCTACAGAGATGGAGTGGAAAGTGACTTCGCGGACAGTATTTTGGCTGAGTTCGTTGGCTGTTTTATTTATATTTGTCTCCTCGTTTATCTCTATCTCTATGGATCTGCCTACCAAGCATCGTATGTATGTAAAGATCGAACATAAACCATTTTATCTTAAACAATGTCTTCCGAATTTGAGTTGTGCCTCTGGACAGACCTTTACAAAAAGAGATGAACTCAGAAATATCTCTTCATCAAACGGATCTGGTGACGCCGATGTGGATTTTGAGCTTTCATCTCTCACAGAGGACGGCCGGGTTCTTGACAATTTCGATAAAGGTGGGAGCTTATTACCAACTGTTGACGATGCAAATGCTGCAGAGGAAAACGATAATGTTTCAGCTTTAGATATGAAAAATGGTTTCTACGGAGATGTGAGGTCATTAGATCAAAACATCAGCTACAGATACGACCCTCAAGTCTACGTAGATCTTTACAAGAATATGACGATCAATGATGTCTCTAAGAAGACAACCGATTCTCCTCCAGTCATCATCATCATGGCCCAATGGCGGTTCGGATCCAGCGTCTTTGGGGAGCTTTTCAATCAGAATTCTGATCTGTTTTACTTATTTGAGCCATTGTATACAACTACTGAATTAAGAAAACAGAAAGGCATTGGATTGTTTACGCCCGAGAGTCGGCAAAATATGTCCAGGAATATCTTGCGTAAATTATCAAGGTGCCAGTTTGATCCGGATTTTGTGAAAATATTAGGTGGCTGGGGCGGGAAAAACAAGAACAAAGCAATATGCAAGGCTTCAAGGAGGTGTAGGATAAAATCAACGGGCTGGATGAGTGGTTTGTGCCGGAAGTACAAAGGCCGAGTTGCTTCGAAGCTGATCCGAGTTGATCTCGAACTCCTAAGACCATTGATGGTGGACGATAACATCAATCTGAAGATCATCCATTTAGTTCGTGACCCTAGGGGCTCTGCATTGTCCAGGATCAAATACAAGCTCAGTTACTCGGGGAAAATATCTCCGACAGTTCGTTCTCAAGTCCCTAAACATGGACGACTGAAGCCTCTCAACCTTTTCAGCGTTACTCCAGAAACCGGACAGACTGTTCGAGGAATGTGCAAGTGGATCAGAAAGAACGCAGTTGTTTCACCTGATCTTCTACCCACTTGGTTGCAAAGTCGTTACTACCTCGTCAGGTATGAAGACTTTGCAGACACTCCTCTGAAGGTCACTCAAGACCTCTACAGGTTCGTCGGAATTCCTTTTAAAAAGGAAGTTCAGGATTGGGTGATAAAGAACACGCGCAAGACAGTCAGAAAAAATGATTTGTTTTCAACTCACAGGAATTCCCAAGTCG